CCAGTTCTAAGAGATAGGCAATCTCCATTAATTTAATTTAATGTTTCTTGTTAGACATGACATCAAGTGTGCGATATAAGACAAAAACACTATCACTTACGTGGATAGTTTATTTTCCCTATGGAATAGCTTTTAGATGTTACTAGAACAGACTGAGTAGCATAAAAAAATGTCCAGGAATCTACAAACTCAAGTGACAGCTGCAGTGCGGTATTATATGATGTATTTATCTTTATCTTGAGAAGAAAAGGATAGAAATAGACAGAGAGGGCCCATAGGGTTGGGGATAACTAATGTCTTGTAATAGAAGGAACAAACAGATGGGTTAAACTTTTGTGCACAATTACATAGAAACAATGGATAAAAATAGCAAGGCAAAGATAAGACACAGCTGTGCTTCCTAATAAACATGCAGGGAAATGCTGGCTAGTATTCTTATTACCTGAATGTAAATATCCAGTTGGATGACAGAGTATTGTCTCTACTCTGGAGCTTGACTGCTTGAGAATTATGATCCGAGCCACATCTGTTTATCTATGCTGATACTGATCACTCCTTTTGATCTTAGTATTCTTGAAACTATGTTAGTCATGGAAAATAGTTGGATAGTTTCTTTAAAAAGAAGTCACGTTGTTGGTAAGCACTTGTACCATGAATAATCCCACTGATTTCAGATCACTTGAGTAAGTACAAACCCCCACAATTTGGTCTTGACGGAAATAAGAAGGGCAATATTTTCTTACCTTCGTTATTTATAAATTCCGAACAGGAAAAGTTACTTTATTTAAGAAAAAAATTCTCCAACATATTGGTTACTTCATTTCAAACCCAGGGTTCAATAGGAATTGAGGGCTGTGGCCACACAATCTCTGTGACAATTTGGGAATCTATATAGTTTCTGACTTCTGCATGAAGTCATCAACTTCATGTATCTGAATCAAGCTGCAAACTCCATTCTGAATGTGCAAACTTTTGGCTTGCCTGTGTCCTAGTTACCTCCATGTCCATTTGGCTGGTGGCAAAAGAATACAAGAGAATTTTTGACTTAAAATGCTTGACCATTAAAATATAATAGCTATAAACAGTAGCCTGGCTTCTAGCTAGCAAAACTTGTTTGTCAGTGGAAAGGTGGTCTGGGCAAGGAAGTCATCTTGCATGGGTTTGTGCTCTCATGGGAAGCAGGCAAGGGTGTTACCCGACAGAGGGAGCTAAAAGTTATAAACATATTGACATTGATCTGTCTGGAGTCTTTGAAATCTTTTGTTTGCAACTCAAAAGGAGAGAGAAGCAACCCAGCAGCAAGGGACCTGAGTTCCTGAGCCCAAATGGTCTCAAGGACCTAATGGGGGGTCAAAGTGGTCCAAAGCAAAGTAAGCAATGCTGATGTGGAATGAAGAAGAATTCAAGGTCTAACCTACAAATCATGCACTGAAGTAGCAGAACTCTGAAAACTAAGGGGGACTGATGTCAGCCCAAAGAATGCCCTGGAACGATGAGGAAATGGAGTCAGAGAAATCAGTGTAAGGTAACTTAATTTGTATGATCTATACACACTGTATCATACCTTCACATATCACTAACATCTGATGAGTCCCCTGACAAGATAAAAACTAGGAACAATATAATCCACAAACCAGTCAGGACCAACTAGAGATCAGGTGCTCACACCTTGTAGACAGCCTCCTTGGCGCTCATTTTCAGGCAGCTGAATACTGAATGGCCTCATGGCAACTAATGTACCTGTGAAACTTGTTGACTTGCAGCTGAATACTGCTGTGAGAACTGTGACATGTGTGTTGAAGTCAACACCTCGAGTTTTGCTTCCCATCTTTGTGCATATCTTACCACCACCTTTCAAAAAAGAAACAATATTACAAGAATACTACTGTGAAATAAGAAACACAGATTTGCCTAACTATGAAGATCTCCAACTTTCCCCCTACTCTCAGGCTATGTCTAGACTGCAAGCCTCTTTTGAAAGAGGCTCTTTTGAAAGATACTTTCGAAAGAGCCTCTTTCGAAAGAGAGCGTCTAGACTGCACGTTGAACTTTCGAAAAAGCAGCTTGCTTTTTCGAAAGAAAGCATCCAGTGAGTCTGGATGCTCTCTTTCGAAGAAGCCCTATTTACATTGAAGAACGCCTTCTTTCGAAAGAGGAACTTTCGAAAGAAGGGGTTCTTCCTCGTGAAATGAGGTTTACCGCCATTGAAAGAAAAGCCGCGTTCTTTCGATTTAATTTCGAAAGAACGCGGCTGCAGTCTAGACGCAGGTGAGGTTTTTTCGAAAAAAGGCTACTTTTTTCGAAAAAACCCCTGAGTCTGGACACAGCCTCGAGATGCCACCTTAAATCTAGGAACGCCTCTTGGTTAGCAGTCAAAGATTGTTACCAAAAAAGAAGTGGCAGGGGCTGTGGAAAAACAATGGGGTCAAGAATGAAGACCCAGTCACACATCCTATAGACCTACCACATGGATTCAACATGCTAGGTAAGATACAGATCACAGATCTACATCAGAGCCTCACACAAGCATTGCAATTACCCACTATATATACAGAAAATGAAAGACAGCCCAATATATGAAGATGGAGAAGACAGCCAAATCATGGGATATCTTGTGAACTGCTGGCCTCTAAGGCCAAATCTACACTGGCAAGTTAATGTGAAGTAAATCAGCTCCGAGCACTATAACTTCTGAGGTTATTTCTGGCAAGGCACTTAGTGTACACTAGCTCTATAGTTGCTGCTCTCTAGGGTAAACCAACTTGACAAGAAACCTAAAGCTTGATACGCTCTGGATATTATGCTGCGGGGGATCATTGTGGACACTTGAATTAATTGTTGCATTCTGACTAGCCTCCAGAAATGGCCCATAATCCCTCAAGTCCCATATACTTTTTGTTTGGAACTTGCTGTCTGCCCTGCTGGCCTGCACATATCCCCTTTCAGAGCTGTTTTGGACATCCTGCATGCTGTGTTGATTTGCTCTGGGACACAAAGAAAACCAGTCAGATGGAATGCTCATGCTGTTGAATACAGAGTCAGGCATCTCTGTGGGTGAGAGAGAGAGAGAGAGAGAGAGAGAGAGAGAGAGGAAGAAAGAGAAAGAGAGAGATTTCTGTGCAAAGAGCTGGGGAGGGAGATGGTGGGGGGAAGAGCCACTGAGATGGAAGGGTTGTTTCCTGCAACTGGCTGAACTTACAAGACAGCATGCTGATATCCTTAAAACATACTGTCTCCTTTCTCTCCCCCCCTCCCACCCTTACACACTCTCTCCCTTTCCCCAAACTTCTGTTGAAAAGCAGCTGTCAAAGTAGTAGAATGACCATGGAACAACAGGACCTTACATCATGTGATGGTGACTTCCCCATGTGGCATTGAAAACCCTTTCCAAAGCACCCTGCGGCCACTTGCACAGTGGGATAGCTACTACAAAGCACTGCTCTCTATGGCATTGCAAGAGCTGCGAATGTGGACATGCTCCACCATCACAAGGAGCATTGTGTGGGACACACAACAGCAGCTTCCCTGAAGTGCTGTCTGAGCAGTGCTGTAACTACCAGTGCATTATATCTGCCACTCTACATTTTGTTTTTCCAAGATTTGATTAGTGTTCACAGAATTTAAACTAAAAACAACAACAACAAACTCAACAAAAGCACACTTTGGAGAATTTGCGTTAAGTAAAATATCATGTGATGGAAGGGGAGCATGGTAAAAATAAGCGCTTAAAAAGTTCTTAAGGCAAACAGTAGAACTTTTAGCTTGGTTCAAAATCCTATCAAATTCTGACTCCTTTTGCTTGCTGATACGATATGAGAGGCTCATTTATATGCTTCACAGTGCATCTTCCATCTACTACCAAACACCCTTCCTCTCCATTTAAATTCATCCTTAAAATTCTCTTCTTCCTCAAGTTGACTATTGAGAAATACCTAAAATTCTGCATTGTGATTATGCTGAGCTCTTGACTCACACACAGTAAAAAGGGCATCTGGACCATTGTGGATTTTATACAGTGATCTTCTTGCTCCCACTGGGTCTGTGTTTTTACACTTGTGCAGCACTGAGAATATGGACAACACACCCCTCCTGTGTAAATGCTAGTAGTAGCCTCCAAAGTCCAACCAGCTAATACTCTCAGTAAATAGCTTTGGTAACTAGCAGAACAAACCAGTTATTTCAACTTATATTTCTGAGATGATAAAAAATGCAGTTAGTTACAGCTCTCATGTTCATAGAGCATTAAATTGGATTCAATAATTATCCTATGGTCTTTAACAACAGATGCAAATAAAAATGGAACCCCATTTAATGATAAGAGAGCAAGTGTGTGTGAGTACTCCATGGATAGCCTCACATTGTGAACAGGGTTGAGTTTCAAGAATATAATTGCCTTTTAAGAGTTAGTCTGAAATTGAACACTGAGGAAAAGAGTGAGGCTGGGCATTAGTTAGTTAGGGATAGAGGTTGAGAACCTCATAGGTATTTACACAAGTAACTTTCCGTGTAAATTAAGTGCCTACATATCTTTGAGGATCTGGGCTTGATTCAGGCCCCTTACAATTAGTGGTACCTATTCTGGTGAGTAGTCTCACAAAGGGACCATTAGCATCAATACTCAAAAGTAGTACTCAACAAGATAAAGGGTTGGGCCCTGGAGATATTTATATAGATACCCATCACCAAGCTCCAGGTGCCTCATATACAGTCAGTTATAAAGTGACACACATTTGGTGGGAATTAAAATTGTATGTTGCCTGGGTAGCCATGACATATTTGAAATCTTTAAAAAAAAAAAAAAAAAAAAGAAAAGCTCATTACGGAAATATTCTCTCTGACCACAGGTCTGATCCATGCAGCCTTGTCAACACCAGTATGGTCTGAAATTCTAAACAGTTTAATGTGCTCCATGGACACATCAACAAAAAAGATTTGAGACAAAGGAAAGAAAATTATTATTTTTCTTAAGTTAAGAATAATTATTTTTGCTTTCACAGTTTCAACTACAAGTCCCCTCAGGTCCAGCATGCACAGTTCTGAGCTCTTATCCAGTGATGGCTTTACATTACCGAAGAAACTCATTCACCTCTGAATGCTATTTGCACACCCTGAAACAGCCAGAGAATCACAGGCACAACTAGAGTGACAGGAGGAGTGGACAGGGACCACATTTATGTTGCAGAGGAGCCTGCATAATGTAGGTCTAGTCTTGAGGTGACCCATGAATAAATCCTGGAGAACCCAGAATACAACTGAATAAAAAGCTGCTAAAAAGAGGTTACCTGCAAAGCGTATACTGTTGCCACTGATCAGCTATATAATCTATATAATCAGATAAAAGATCTAGTGACCCCTTGCATTAAAGACAGCAAACAGCTTAAGCAGAGTAATTAAACTAAACAATACACTGACTGTGATAGGTTTTACCACTCTGTCTACCCCTTGGGTTGAGTGCAGCAGCTCTCTTCTCTTGGATGTCTGTCTCTGGATAGCAGCATGACTGTAGCCTGGGTCTCAGACTTGGTGTGCAGCCCTCCAGCCCTACCTCTTCGGGAGTGTCATCTTCTGGTGAGGGGAAGGGTGGTGTATTGAAGTAGTTAGAGGGCCAGTTCCCCATGGTCTTGCACAGCATACAGACCAATAGTCCTTCGTAGGAAAGTCTGGCTCTTTGTCTTGTACATGTCTAAACCACCAAGGCTCAGTCCCAGGCCTCCAAAAACTAAAAATATGGCAAAAAAATAGTTCTTCTGCTTCTTTAGAGGATGAGGGGGTGTGAGGGTGGAAGGGGAAAGCTAGTGATTTCATGCAATTTCCATGGGAGATTACCCTTGTTCCCTGAGACTAGGAAGCTCTAGGCACTAGTTCTGTTTGTTCTTCAATGCCAACCAGCCCTACTCAGGAGACTCCCATTTAAGAATTTGCTTTTCTCCAACACTGACAAGCCTAAGTGTAGTGGGTTGTGGCTGACTGAGCCCAGAGGAGCTCTTTAACCCCTTCTCGACTGCTCTCTGACACACCAATAGCAGCACAGATAAATATAGAATCTGAGCAGAGCAGTATCCGTACTCTCAGATGACATGACATAAGGCTGAAATCACTTGTATCAGCTCATCAGTTCATACATATTATGTCATTTAGTCTTTTTAAAGTTGTGACATCAAGGATAATAGTATTTCGAGAAAACAAGTAAGCTCCTACAACGTCTGACAGGCTGGGTTCTACTGTGAAAAGACAACCCTTTCAAGAGCAGTCGCAGATCTAAACATGATGAGGTGGTTCAGAACACTCTTACAAAAGGCCCTTTCAAGTTGATTGGCAGATCAAGCTCCTCCCCATTCAATTATAAAGAAGCCAGTGCTTTTCAAAGGGAGTGTACTTAGAAAGTCTCCCAGCGGCTCTTTGGGTACTGACCAGTGTGAATTACAAATTAGCTAAGAGGAAGGCACAGAAATAACAGGCTTTAATAACGTTAGGCCTAAGCTAGTATTAGTCCACTTTTTAGCTGAATCTCATTAACAAAAGGCAAGCCCCTAGCACTTGCTTAAATTAATATGCTGAGCTGAATGGGTGCACAGAAACCATGGCATTGTGTTAAGTCAGGTTGATCTTTGATCTCTGTGTAAAAATGCATCTTTCAGAATCATGAGCAGACCGATTCAATTAAAATGCCATTAAAAGTATCAGAACTCAAGTAATAAAACAAAACTGATGTTAAAGACTGACCTGTTCGCAAACCCTTCCTAATTCATTAGTAAAATACTGCTATATTTCATTTAGCTTTTACACAAAATATACCCCCAAGTGTTTGTATAATTGACTAATGCTTGTTAAAATGTGCAGTAAATAATAACCAAGGTTAGCAGAAAAAGATGATGAGATTTACAGGCAGTTGTGGAGATTTCACCAACACAGGCAAAGATTTTGCAGGGAGTTTCACACTGCTCAATCTGTACTTCAGTGAAGTTGCTGCAGTGTTACTGTATTTGTTAAAACATACAAGTATGGTCCCTCAACCTATAGATCGCTCAGCAAAACTGTATATAGGGACCTCTGTACAGATACATTATAGGACCCTGCATGCCACAGTGTGTCAGAGGGGTATGATAACATGCAGCACTCTACCAGTCCTGTGTAAACTCTGCTGGTACACTCTAAAAGGTACCAGGTTTGTGCTAACATCAGCATGAGCTAGATACATTTTAGAGAGTACCAGTAGGGTCTACATGGGACAGTTAGGGTGTGTCTACTCAGCAAAGTTACTTCGGAATAACGGCCATTATTCTGAAATATCTATGTGAGCGTCTACACAGCAAAACCATTATTTTGAAATAATTTCAAAATAGCAGATGGCTTGTTCTGTAAACCTCATTCTACCAGGAATAGCGCCTATTCCGAAATAGCTATTTCAGAATAGGGGCAGTGTAGACAGGGAATAGTTGCTATTTTGAAATAGGGGTTCTCCAGCCCTTCCCTGTCATTCTGTCCACACTCAGCAAAACTCTATCCTCCCCACCCCCCTCTATGGAGCCCTTAAAGCTGCAGCCTCTGCAGAAAGGGTTTGGAGCTCACAGAAGGCCTGACAGCCCTGAGCCACCCTGCATCTGCACTTGCCTTGCTTTCCCCCCAGGATAAGCCAGTCTGCTGCTCTCACCCAGCCCTCCACTGCTCCCAGGGAGCAGTCAGACAGCTCCCAGGAGCCTGACAGGGCCGCAAAAGACATGCACCTTCTTGGTCTTTTGCAGAGATCCTGGACCTTTTTGAGGTTTGGGAGGATGAGACCACCCTCCAGGATCTCCGCACCAGATGCAGGAATGTGGACATCTATGGCCGGATGGCCGACAGCCTGGTCACTAAAGGCCACATCTGCCCCCACGAACAGGTGCGGATGAAGGTTAAAGAGCTCTGCCAGGCATATGCCAGGGCAATTCCCAATCCAGGACAGAGCCCCAAAGCTGCCCTTATTTTAAGGAGCTGGACGGCACCCTGGGGGTGGGGCATCCCTTCCCCGGTTGTAGACGCCAGGCTCAAAATGCCCATTGTTGTCCTTGCGAGGGAGGGAGGAGATGAGGACGAGGAGGAGCAGGATCCGGATGAAGCAAGCATCACCACCCAGCAGACCCAGCAGCCCGAAAGCCTCTCTGTGGACGTGCCCCAGGCATCATTTGAGGCAGGGGAATTTACATCATGTGAGTGCCATCACTTTCCCTTCATGCAGGGGGTGGAGGGAACAGCCGGAGGGTGTGTGGTTGGGGGGGACACAGGGAGCTGGGCACTCCATGCTAGGCCCTTGCTGGCCATGGATCGTGCAGCAGCCTGTGTATGTGGGAGCATGTGCCGTGCCGTGCCGCTCGTGGGCACACGTCCCCAAGAGGCTGCCACAGAGGACCCTTGTGCTATTGGCCACAGGGTGTCTAGAGAGGCCTGTCATGCTCCTAACCCCGGGGTGGAACAGATGCTCCTTACTCCAGGGTGGGACACCCCCTCTCCACAAGCCATCTCTAGAAGGAGGCAAGGGACATGAACACAAACACACACACATACTCAGGAGTCCCACACATGGCACACGGGTATGCCCACAATCTTAGGGTAGCACCCACTCCCAGGGACATGTGGGCCCAGTGGCCAAAATGCACATGGCCTTGCTGCAAGCACATCACCTGCGACAGAGATGAAAACTGTCACTCTCAGGTCACAGATGGGGCTAGGCTTCAGGCACTGTGTCCCCTGGGATGACTGACCATCTTTCTTTGTTCTACACAGCCGGACCAGCTGCAAGAGAGGGGCGGTCAACACACCCAGGACAGCCTCCTGGACCCGAGGCATCTGCAGGCGCCACTGTCCCATGGACAAATCCAGCGGCAGCACCTGGTGGCACTGTGAGCCATGCACTACACCATAAAGGGCTGGGTCCAGGAGGATCTGCAGCTGCATCAGGAGAGCTGGCAGGAGCCGCTTGTACAGGGCTGCTGAATGTGTTCAGATGTCCACTCCCTTGCGCTGAGCATGATGCCTCCTCCTGTTCTAACCTCTGCTCCCACTCCTGCTGTAGCTCCTCCTCCCCCCCCCCCCCCCCCCCCTCAGCCATGCACTACACCATAAAGGGCTGGGTCCAGGAGGATCTGCAGCTGCATCAGGAGAGCTGGCAGGAGCCGCTTGTACAGGGCTGCTGAATGTGTTCAGATGTCCACTCCCTTGCGCTGAGCATGATGCCTCCTCCTGTTCTAACCTCTGCTCCCACTCCTGCTGTAGCTCCTCCTCCCCCCCCCCCCCCCCCCCCTCCCCCTCCTCCTTCCCCTCCAACACCGGTACTGAGTTATTCTGTGCTTCCTGTCCTCTCACATTTTCAATCCGCAATGAGCTCCAGTACTGTCTGTGCTGCTTGGGGGAAGCTTATGCTGCATATAGATACTATTGATGTGAAAATGCAACTATATCCATGGTTAACAGTGAGTCTGGGTTCATCAGTTAATGTCCCCCTCCCCCCTCCCCTTCCTACTTCTCCTTCAACACCCTCCGACCTCCTGTGGATGCTGAGGACCCCACACCCATGGTGGTGTGATCTACAGAGCCCAGCACCACTCCCATCCCCATCCCTGAGCCTCTCCTCCCGCTTTCTCCCCCTTCCAGCTCCCTCCTACCTCCTCCAAGGTTCTCACCACCACCCCTTCTTCCACCCTCTCTCAGGTTCTTTCCCCAGTCTCTCCCCAGTTTCTTTGACCCCACATAGAGAATACAGAGTTTTCAGTTTTTCAAAAACAAATGTGTTGTTTATTGCTGCAGCAGGAAACGGGGGAAGGGAGGCGGAAGTGGAGGGATGGCAGTGACTGGGGTGAGTGGGGCGGACCAGGGGAGAGTGAGTGGGGCGGACCAGGCCTCTCAGATTCACATGGCCCCTTGATGGGAATGCCGGATGGCAGCTGTGCGCGGCTGCTCGTAGGCCCTGCCTATGTGGTCAGCCTCCGCCCCCCACCCTGGAAGGAAGACCGCCCCCTGCGTTTCACACAGGTTGTGCAGAAAACAACATGCAACCACCACATGTGGGATGTTGGGCTCTCCCAAGGTTCAGTTGAGTGAGGAGGCATCTAAATCGCGCCTTCAAACAGCTGAAGGCATCCTCCATGACCATGCGGGCCCTGTAGACGCGCTCTTTTGGAATCTCTATAAATCCATGAGGAATAAGGGCTCTTCCAAAAGAGGAGGTTTTTCCAAAATTTGACCCACTGTAGATGGGCCAAATTTTGGAAAAGCCTCTTCTAAAAAAAGAAGCGGAAAAAAATACGCAAATAATAATTTTCAATTTGTGTAGCTTTTTCTGGAAGAACAGTGTACTGTAGACGTAGCCTTAGAGTGCAACATGTTAGCATAGTCTTCAAATCACACCCTTCTAGGGCATGAGCGGTGAGCGAAGATACTGCTGCTCCCCAGCCTGTGGCTCTGCCCATACTCCAGACCTGCCCCACCTCCTCCCCACTGTCTCCTTCTCTTCCCTCCCCATCTCTGCTCATCCGTTCCAGCCAATTCCCTGAACCCAAATGTAGCAAATGACATTTGAAAAAAGCCCAATCCCACTCTTCTAAAATTCTTTTCCAAAGAAAATTGAACGTTTTCCCACTGCATCCCAGATTGAGAAGACTGGATATGCAGAAGGTACCTAATTAAAAACATTATATTTGGGAATAAAAAATGTCAGTCACAGGTTTCTTGATATCTCATGAAGTTTCTCAGAGAATTATGTGTAAAAACTTCATAGTAAGGGCAAGTCATTTGTTCTGCTGAATACAGCATTGAATATCATGGAATACATGATGCAGCTCTTCTCTGTTTTACATTTTCTGAATTAGTATTTCAAAGCAGATTTTATATTTTAAATGTACTCGTAAGCCTTCATGAAGTAATCATTCCAGATTACTACATATTTGATGCACTGAAACAAAATCATTATTTTAAATTAATCAGAGCAGTTTAGTATGTTCATAAATATCATTGCTTTTAGAAGAAGAGAACACTAATTTATTTTGTGTGGTTGTGTTTTAGATAAGGGTGGTCTTTTGAAGAATTTATTTTTAAAACTATGGCTAAAGATCCAAACATTTAAGCTAAAGCTGAATACAGGTTTGATGTCCCTGATCCAGTACCCTCAAGACCTGAGTAGTGTGGAACCAGGGACTTTACCGGACCAGGAGAGGTCAATGCCCTCTGCTCGCCACCAGTCCCACTCCTGGGATCCTTTTTGAGCTGTGGGGCTCCCCAGAGCCTGGGCTCCCTACCCAGCTGCCAGCCCTATGCTGCCGGGGCTTCCTGGGGTCAGGCTCCCCTAGCCTGGTCTCTCCAGCTGCTGCTGTCCCCACTCCATCTGGGGATTCCCCAGCTGCTGCCAGCCTCACTGCCACTGGGGTTCCCAGCCGGGGCCGGAGCTCCCCAGCTATGGCTGGGCCCTGCAGTCTCTGGGAGCTTCTGACGGCCCACTGGGCTGGGTTCCCCAGGGCTGGTTCCCCAGCCACCGCTGGCCCATCCAGGGCTCGCCAGCATCCATGGGACTTCCAGCTGTCTTGGGCTCCTGGCCTTCAAGGCTCTTTAGTCTAGCAACATCTGTGGGCCATCTACCGGACCACGGATGTTGCTGGACCAAAGAGTCCCAGATTTGGGAGGTTCAACCTGTAGTCAAAATGTGCATCTAAAAATCTATGGAAGGATTTTTTTTAGAGATGTGATTTTATAATCTCTAGCAACAAACTAATGAAATAATTAAAGCAAATTTTAAACTAAGGTCCTGTAGACATAGTAATGCACAACTGTTTTGTTAGTAAATTCAGAGTTGGCACATGCCTGTTAAATGGCTACATTATCGCTTAATGGCTCTTTCATAGGTTCAATGTCATGCTCATAGGTCTGGCTTTCCATTTTAAGTGAATAGCTCCGTGGGATGGAGAAGGAGGAGGAGGAGATTCATCGGTCTGAAACAGCCTGCTGTGGGAACCTTTAGGAATGGTTGGAATAGGGATAGAAAGAGGGGAGTGGTTGAGCACTAAGACCCAGGGAAGATTGAAAGCCAGACAAGTACCCAGAAGTCAACTACTTCAAGACAGACGCAACAAGAAAAATAACAGAACACCACTGGTCACCCAGCTTAAACCTTTCCAACACATCATTGACAATTTACAACCTATCCTGGAAAATGATCCCTCATTCTCCCCGGCCTTTGGAGATAGGCCAGTCCTCGCCTACAGATACCCCCCAACCTGAAGCAAATCTTTTCCAGCAGCCACACATCACACCTAAGATACACTCACCCAGGAACCTACCCCTGCAACAAACCCCATTGCCAACTCTGTCCACACATCTATACATGTGACACCATCACAGGGCCTAAACACATAAGCCACAACATCACAGGCTCATACAACTGCACATCCTCTAATGTGATCTATGTCATCAAGTACCAGCAATGCCTCTCTGCCTTATATATTGGCCAAACCAAACAGTCTCTATGAAAAAGGATAAATGGACACATATCAGACATCAGAAATAGTAGCATGCATTTTAACTTGCCTGGTCACTCAATCTGCATTTCCACATCATAAGGTATGAATGGGACACATCCAGCCCACTTAATTAGTCTCATTAACATGGGTCCTACAATTGATAGGTATTTCTTCTGCTCTTATATATATATATATATCTTGGTTTCTGTTATTTCCACTTCAATTCATGCGATGAAGTAGATTTTACCCATGAAAGCTCATGATTCTAAATCTTTTAGTTAATGTCTTAGGGCATATCTACACTAGGAAATTATTTCAAAATAACTAAATTCAAAATAATAACTCCCATAATAACTATTTTGAAATAAGCTTATTCCCCAAGAAAAGCAGCAGTACAGATTTCAAAATAACCAACTCATTATTTCAAAATAATGGGCTTGGTAGTGTGGACGCTCCATTTATTATTTCAAAATAAGGGCTGTTATTTTGAAATAACTCCCTAGTGTAGACCAGACTAAGGTACCATGGGACTACTCTTTGGATTTGAAGAGAAGTAAACAGCTTTCAAGTGGTTAATGTGGGTTGTGTCATATGCAGCACATTAACCACTTTTAACTCTTATTTCCCTTAAAACAGTTTAAAATAATGGTGGTGATCAGGCCTTATGAATCTGAGGAATCAAATATTGGTTCCAGAGCTAAGTGTGGGGTTTTGCTGCTTTATGTAATAACAAAGACAACTGGCTGCTAATTTCCTGACAGAGGAGCTGACAGACTTACAGGGTCCCTGGGCAGTGTGTGTGTGTGTGTGTGTGTGTGTGGGTGTGTGTGTGTGTGT